GCACGCACGCACGCACGCACGCACACACACACGCTGATGCACACATGCACACATGCATGCACGCACGCACGCACGCACACACACACACACACACGCTGATGCACACATGCATGCACTCACGCACGCACGCACGCACGCACGCACTCAGGCATACCCGATCTGGTCCGCAGACGCCCGCAGCGCATCCCTCATTTCGGCATCTTCGCGTCAATTCGTCGGCCGCCTGCGTCCATTTACTCGTGCCCACTTCGAAATAAACACTAAACATAACTCCCCCTTGCTGACTCCGTTAACATCCGACCTCGCCACGCCAATCGTACGCCACTACTACTGAAGCAACACACACATGTGTCCTAGGCAGTAAGCAACCGCCTAACGTGCACCAGCTCCACCGAACAGTAGTAACACGAAGATCGGCCAATGGTCAAATCCCGCGCAACGCACCGCTCGGTGGTTGCATATATATCACAACACGTGGTCTGCACGCATACCGTAATATACACTCCAGCTCTGATGTTGACATGACCGCATGTACGGTCAAACTGCGTCTATATATATATATATATATATATATAATATATATATAATAAATAAATAGGAATCCGTATAGGTACAGGCTGTGAATAACTTTGCGTTTGACATAATTATGCACGATTGTAGCCGGCAACTGCGTAATTGCATCTGCGCAACAAACACACTAATCGTGTCGGGTGGCGTGGCCTACTATAGTCACGAAACAATCGTCGCTAGCGAGCGTTAGTAATAGTAACCCAGTGGCTTACTTTACCACCGTTACAGCCGTACACCTCACGTATTGTTAATACAGTAGTACATTCTGGCTTCAATAATTTGAGGATGTAGATTGGGTAATGCCAACCCTTGCAGGTGGGAGTAACTCGTCCCACGGTCGAATACGGTATTATAAACAGGTCAAACAGGCCCCTTCCCTCGCTCACTCTCTCCGTTACTAACTAGCAGTTGGAGGTATAGCGGTGGAATAAGGATGTTTACTTGCATTTAAGTTTTGTTTCTTTTCACTGCCTATTTGTTTTTTTTGCGTCAACCGTTCAGCGATGAAATAACACGCGGTCAAAGGCATCGATGACGTAATGACGACGAGGATCATGGGAAATTCCATATAGTTGGCAATAGAGACGAGAGCGCGTCATGAGAGAAAAAATGCAGCAGTTGAGGAAAGAGGTAAACAAGCTCCTCGTCTGACCTACATAGCTAAACAACCAGACGAGTTTACGAGATATGCTAAATTACAGGCGGTTCAGACCGATAGATAGGCCTCCGTGCGACTCCTATGTCTACATAACTTAAGGCAGACCTATATTTTCGCTGTCACGAAAACAAGTTCCCACGTCGCTTTACCAACAGCACGGTTGAGATCTGTCACTTCTACTACTATTGTAACGGTAAATAACTTCTAGACAACCTGCTGGGGCAGCCTTGACATTTAACTCCGCCGACCAACAGCGCTGCACGATGCGTGAATGTGAAGTGATGACGCAAGCTGTGCGTCCAAGTCGCACCTAATAACCAGCAAGAATTAACCAGCAATAATTAACCAGCAAGAATTAACCAGCAAGAATAAACCAGCGAGAATTAACTAACAAGAACTAACCTGCAAGAATTAACCAGCAAGAATTAACCAGCAAGAATTAACCCGCAAGAATTAACCAGCAAGAATTAACCAGCAAGAATTAACCAGCAAGAATTAACCAGCAAGAATAAACCAGCGAGAATTAACCAACAAGAACTAACCTGCAAGAATTAACCAGCAAGAATTAACCAGCAAGAATTAACCAGCAAGAATTAACCAGCAAGAATTAACCAGCAAGAATTAACCTGCAAGAATTAACAAGCAAGAATTAACCAGCAAGAATTAACCAGCGAGAATTAACCAGCAAGAATTAACCCGCAAGAATTAACCAGCAATAATTAACCAGCATAAATTAACCCGCATAAATTAACCAGCAAGAATTAACCAGCGAGAATTAACCAGCGAGAATTAACCAGCAAGAATTAACCAGCAAGAATTAACCAGCGAGAATTATCCAGCGAGAATTAACCAGCAAGAATTAACCAGCAAGAATTAACCAGCACGAATTAACCCGCAAGAATTAACCCGCAAGAATTAACCAGCGAGAATTAACCCGCAAGAATTAACCAGCATGAATTAACCAGCAAGAATTAACCAGCAAGAATTAACCCTCAAGAATTAACCAGCAAAAATTAACCCGCAAGAATTAACCAGCATAAATTAACCCGCATAAATTAACCAGCAAGAATTAACCAGCAAGAATTAACCCGCAAAAATTAACCAGCGAGAATTAACCAGCAAGAATTAACCAGCGAAAGTTAACCAGCGAGAATTAACCAGCGAGAGTTAACCAGCGAGAGTTAACCAGCGAGAATTAACCAGCAAGAATTAACCAGCAAGAATTAACCAGCAAGAATTAACCAGCGAGAATTAACCAGCGAGAGTTAACCAGCGAGAGTTAACCAGCGAGAATTAACCAGCAAGAATTAACCAGCAAGAATTAACCAGCAAGAATTAACCAGCGAGAGTTAACCAGCAAGAATTAACCAGCATGAATTAACCAGCAAGAATTAACCAGCGAGAGTTAACCAGCGAGAGTTAACCAGCAAGAATTAACCAGCAAGAATTAACCAGCGAGAATTAACCAGCGAGAATTAACCAGCGAGAGTTAACCAGCCGATGACGACGGACAACGAGTCGTGGCTCGCAGCCCGTGCGGCTAACCTGATACATTTTGATTTTATCGCATAAACAAGCTCGCGCCAAACTTTTCTGCTTTCCAACGTGCAACGAATCACACGACGTACGGGTATATATAGTGGCTCTGTACGGACCGAGGAAGCGCTGCATGAGCAGTGGACCCGCCTTCCCCCGTAGAGCCGCTCCCAGGTGCCTGCCTGCGTCTCACACGTGCTCGTGCGGGCGACAGACGTGAGCTGACGTACTTGGTCAGGTGGTGGAATTTGCCTCGACCCAGGGTTAACGGAGCACGCGCCAAACATATCTAAGACGCCACGAAGGTCGTCGACCCGCGCACTCTGTCCGATAAGGCATGTTAACCTAAATGCGAATAGCTTCCCGGTTTCTCTCCGACCGATACGCGAGATTCGCGCGTATGCGCGCACCGAGGGCCCAACTCAAGGTGACCGGACCGAAGGAGCGCCACACTGCGCATGCGCACACAGAGAAATACACGCGCATAGCCTATAGGTATCATGATCAATAGAAATTGTAGTCCGTATATATATATCAAACAAACAGCCAGCGTGCTATCGAGGTTACGGTTTCTACGATATCACAATGGCAATATATATATATAGCCTATATCCACGTGTATCGATTGTGTTGGCGTGTATCACGCATTTCGCGGCATCTCATCGGCATCTGTCACCTAGGGAGTAAACATCACGCGCTTGTGCATTAACTATGGGTTCACATTAATGCAGCAGCAGCGTGCGCCCGCGATCAGCGGTAAAGTTGGCAACGGTACCAGGTTACCGGTCGCAGATCAATATTGCTGAGCGTGGGTGAAGCCAGGAGTCAGTGCAGGTGAACGATTAGCATTTTCTCTACCGGTGTAGCAACGGATAGCCCGCAACAACGACAACTCGCTGATCGGGAACGACGAGAAAACCGACAGAAGGCAGAAGAGAGAGCGAGAGAGAGAGAGAGAGAGAGAAGGGGGGGGGGGAGGTGGGGAGAGAGCGAGAGAAGATGAGGAGGAGAGTTGGGGGAGAGAGTGAGAGAAATCGCGCCCGCGTGAGAGAGGGTGCGGTGGGAGGTCGGAAGGGGAGAGAGACGAGCAAGAGAGAAAAAACGCAGAGGGAGATGATGAGATGTAGAGATAGATAGAAAGGTAAATAGATGGATAGACAGATACTATCTATCTATCTATCATAGATAGATAGATAGATAGATAGATAGATAGATAGATTGAATAGATTGATAGAGAGAGCTGCGGGAGGGAAAAATAAGACAATATAAAAGGAGAGAGTTGTAAAAAGCAAGTCAAAAAAGACGAGAGGTACGGGTAGAGAGAAAGAGAGCGAGAGAAAGAGAGAGCGAGCGATAGAAAGAACGAGAGAGTGAGAGCGCGAGAGAAAGAGAGAAAGAGAGAAGAGAGAGCGAACGAGCGAGAAAGAGAGAGAGAGAGAGAGAAAGCGCTTGCGACAGCGAGAGAGAGAGAGAGAGAGAGAGAGAGAGAGAGAGAGAGAGAGAGAGAGAGAGAGAGAGAGAGAGAGAGAGAGAGAGAGAGAGAGAGA